AAAGGAAGGTAAAGAGAGGGGAAGGAAGGGAGGGAGGGAGGGAGGGAGAGAGATAAACAGAGACAAAGAGAGGAAGGAAGAGAGAAAGAGAAAGAAAGAAAGAACAACAGAGAAACCTGACAGAGGTGATGCAGACGCCTGGTGCAGCGCAAGGCTCAACGGACGGGGCTCTTGGAGAGAAAAAGGTGTCCAGACCACCTTTCCAGCCTCTCAGGAGGGCCGAGGGGTGAGCGGGGCCCTGGCTGCCCCAAGGGGCTTGAAGGTGAGCCCAGCGTGCCAAGGGCCAGTGGAGCTGGCTCACACCCCACCACCCCGGGCAGGCCTGGCCGGCTAATTCCAACACACGGCACGGTCCTTGGCTTGGCTGGAATTGTATCCACCCCACCATCGCCAGCTGATCTGAAGCTGTACTGAGCACTTACAGGGTCAAAGGTTAATTTTGGAAAGGGGATAAATTAATCATTACCTCATTCATGTCGGAGCTATGTCGAATGCAAGCCCTCTCACGAGGCGGCTGAGATGCAAAGAGGACATCTAGCCGTGGAGGCGTTCCAAAGTTCAAAGCCAGAGAAAATGAACAACAGTGAGAGAGGGCAGAGGAGTGGTCACCTCTGGGGGACACGGATTGGGAAGGGTCACCAGAGACCTCTGTGATTTTCCTGACACGATACACAACCTCATTCTAATCAGGAGAAACCACCAGACAAGCCCAAATCGAGGGAAATTCCCGAAAACCACTGACCAGGACCCTTCAAAAGTGTCACAGCAGACAAGGAAAGACTGAGGAACTGTCACAGATCCGAGGGCCGTAAGGAGACTGCGTACATGCAGCAGAGTAAACCAAAAACACCCCGAGGTCTCCTTCCAACCAAACAGAACTTGAGCTGAACTAGCAACGAATGTCTGCTTTGAGCATTGTGCTCTTTCAAGAACTATCTATATGGGATCAAACTGACAGCAGCAACCTAAAAGATGAGCCAGGAAGTTTATGGGGCAGTGAGTGTATGTTAATGGGGGAGGAGCAACTCAGAAAAGAGGGTGAGAATGGCTGCACAACTTGAAGAATGTCATCAACATCACTGAACTGTACTTGTAGACTGCTGCACTGGTGTGTGTGCTGCTGTGTGTATTCTCAACAACAGCAAAAATCCATAAACTATTAAATAAATAAATGCAACATGGGATCCTGGACCGGAGAAAGGATATCTGTGGAAAAACTGCACTTTAGCTCACTACACAGTGCCAATGTTAATGTCCTAGTTTTGGTCATTGCACTGTCGTCATTGTTGTTAGGTGCCATCAAGTCGATGCTGACTCATGGCGACCCCATGGATGCAGAATAGAACGGTTCCACAGGGTTTTCAAGGCTGTGACCTTTCAGAAGCAGATTATTGCCAGGCCCTTCTCCAGAGGCACCTCTAGGGGGGTTCGAACCGTCAACTTTTTGGCTAGCAGTTGAGTGCTTAACCGTTTGTGCCACCGGGGACTCTCGATCATTGTACTGCAGTCGTGGATCTACCAACATCCGGGAAAGCCGGCTGAAGGGCATATGGGAATTCTTTGTACTATTTCTGCAACTTTTCTATAAGTCTAAAAATTTTTTTAAATAAAAAGTTAAAAAGCAATGACGCTGTAGATCTTGATTCACGTGGCTGTGATACGTTAGCAGGTTAAAGTAACAGGTCACTTAATAGCAGGTAGAGCACGATCCCATTCTGGGGAGGGGGGAAAGCACGCGTGTGTACACGCACCCACACTGATATGAGAAAGGTCCAGGAGGGATACACCACACTGCTAACAGTTGAAATCTCTGGCGGTGGAATCATCCGTGATTTTAATTTGCTTTGTTAGACTTGTTTATCTGTCCTGAACTGTCCGTAACGAACACATATTACTTCTATTATCAGAAAGAAGGGAGACACACCCAGAAAAGCTGTTTTCACTCAGCAAAGAGAAGAACATCCTCACAGGGGCCAAAAGATGGGGGAAGGTGGAAAATTCACAAAGGGAGCTGGGGACAAGGGGCTGCCAGAGGGAGGGGGTGCTGAGGCGGGGGAGGCAGAGGGTGGAGGGTCAGGCGTGAGCCAGGGAAGGCAGGGGCAAGCAGGAGAGAAGGGGCGAGGAGGCCTCCCGAGATCCCCGCAAGGGCCGGCTTGTGGCAGAGAAGAGTTGTCTCAGGCCTTTCCTCCCGGATTCTCCCCACAATGCCATCATTCATGGACCCTGCATCCCCCACCCCCAGCCACGCAGACTCCAGCACTGCCCCCATGTCCTCTGGGGTCTCTGGACTGCCTGTGGACAGGCCCTTAGGCAGGTGGACATCTGGGCTGTCAGAGTGGCAGTGGAGGAAGAGGGGTAGGAGAGGACCGGGCCTGCCATCACAGCTGGGCCCGGGGAGGGCAAAGGGCTGGGCAGACCTTGAACTCCCTTGTGACTCTCCACCTTCAGCCCCCTATGCCCTGGGACCTGTCTTTTAGTTGCCCTCTGGGTAAGGATGCCAGCTGAAATATAGGACGCCCAGTTAAATTCGAATTTCATATAAACAACAAAGCATTTTGAAGCGTAAGTATACCCCAACGAGCACGTGGGATACACTTACACTAAAAAATAATTTGTGTTCTGAAATTCAAATCAGACTGGACAGCCTGTATTTTTATTGGCTAAATCAGGCTGCCTCACCCCTGCGCTGCTTCTGAGGCCAGCTCTGTCACGACAGATCACCCCAGCTCTCTCTGAACCTGTTTTCCAGCTACAAAACGGGCATGAAGCTAACCGCACCAGGTTGGTGGAGGGTTCAAAGAGAAGGTGATCATTTTAGTAGCTCGAAGGTGCCAGCATGCCTGGCACGGTGCAGAGCCATCATGCTGTTCAATCCTCAGGAGAACTTAGGAGTCAGGGTGGGTGTTACCCCCACGTTACAGAACAGGAAACCGAGGTACAGGGAGGCAAAGGGGTCTGCCCAGTTCTTTTCTCTCTTCTCCAATAAAAGGAGGAGGACCACAGGGTCCTGCATGCTGGCAGCAGCGGAATGAGTAGTGATGATAATGACATTAACAGCAGCACTGATCTCCACACTGAACCTACACAATCTCATCCCATCTTTACGAGAGCCCAGTGAGGTGGGGACGATCACTCCGACCCTCGTACAGAGGGAATCCCGTGCACCCCAGGTTATGCATTACGTGGCAGAGCTGGGATCCTTACCGTGGTTCTCCTCCCTACAGGGAAGAGTAGGGGTATGGGGTACTGGTATTAACAGCAATAACGAGGCTCCCCTCCCCACTGACAGATGCCACACGTACACCCAGGCTGCTCGACCTCAGTGCTGCTGACATTGGGGCCGGCTCATTCTCTGATGTGGGGGGCTGTCCTGTGCACTGTGGGATGTGGAGCAGCATCCCTGGCCTCACCCACCGGATGCCAGGAGCACCCCCTCCAGTTGTGACAACCACAGCTGTCTCCAGACACAGGCACACGTCCCCTGGCGGGACAGTCGCCTGAGAGAGAACTCATTTCACTTAGGAAATGGGATTGCCTTGAGCTGGTGGCACGGCAGTGGGAACGTGCGGGGGCGAGGGGGCGCAGGGCCGGCCGGGAGGGGGCGCTCACGCTCTGCATCTTGGCCTCCGTTTCCACGATGTTCTTCTCCACCTGGTCTGCATTCCTCTGCAGCTGCTCAATCAGCTCCGACAGCTCCTTGTTGGAGATGCTGCAGGCAGGGTGGGGGGACGGTGTGAGCAGAGGGCCTGCGGCAGGGTGGCCTCCCCTCTGGCACCCCGTCCTCCCAGGCTGCCCCCCACACGAGGCTTGGAGCAGAAGCTGCCCACCCCTTCGAAGGGGCTTGGCTGTCCCCACAGGTGACATCACCAGAGCCACAAAGCAGCAGCAACTGGAGGGGGGTGTCAGCCCCCACCTCAGTCATGCACTCTGATGCTGCTATTCTGTCATGCTGGCTGAGCACCCCTCTTTTAAAGTTGTCTCATTGTGGTAAAAATATATAGAACAAAACGTTTGCCAATTCAGCATTTCCTACGTGTACCATTCGGCGTCACCAGCTACATTCAGCACTTTGTGCAACCATCACCACTCTCGGTCTCCACATTATGCCGCCCCCGTGAACAGACACTCAGCGCCCCCTAGGCAGTGGCTCTCCCCCTCCCTCCCACCCCTAGTAACCACCAGTAAGCTTTGGTCTGTATGTTTGCCTCGTCTAGATAGTTCACATAAGTGGGATCATATCATAATTGTCCTTTTGCGACTAACTTATTTCACTCTGCACGATGTTTCCAAGATTTATCCTTGTGGTAGCATGTCAGCCTTTGCTCCCATGTTTTATTGAGATATAATTTACACACTGTAAAATTCACCCTTTCATAGTGTACGCTTCAGTGGTTTTTAGTATATTCAGAGAACTGTGCAGCTACCATCACTATTTATTCTAGAACATTTCCATCACCCCAAAAGAAACCCAGTACCGATTAAACAGTCACTCTCTATTCTCCCCGCCAACCACCACTCTGCTTTCCGACTATGGATCTGCCTATTCCGGACACGTCTGGTAAATGGAATTGTACAATGTATGGCCTTTTACATCTGTCTTCTTCCACTTGGCCAATGTTTTCAAGGTTCATCCATGTTGTAGCATGTATTAGAACTTTATTCCTTTTTATGGCTGAGTAACTCGAACTACAGTGTTGGCAAAGAATACCGAATATACCATGGACTGCCAGAAGAGTGAACAAATCTGTCTAGGAAGAAATACAGTCAGAACGCTCCTTAGAAGTGAGGATGGCAAGACTCTGTCTCATGTACTTTGGACATGTTATCAGGAGGGACCACTCCCTGGAGAAGGACATCATGCTTGGTAAAGTAAAGGGTCAGCAAAAAAGAGGAAGACCCTCAGTGAGATGGACTGACACAGTGGCTGCAACAATGGGCTCAAACACAGTAATGGTTGTGGGGACGGCACAGGACCGGGCGGTGTTTTCTTCTGCTGTACGTAGGGTTGCTATGAGTCGGAACCGACTTGACGGCACCTAACAACGACGACAATGTTCCATTGCATGGATAGACCACATTTTGTTGATCCATTTATCCACTGATAGACATTTGGGTTGTTTCCACTTCTGGGCTGTTGTGAATAATGCTGCTATGAACATATTCATAAACAAGTTTCTGTGTGCCCACTTTATTCCTAATTACTTAATATTTCTCTTGCAATCTACTCACTCTTTATATTTAACTACATTTGCTGAAAAAGATCACTTGCTGTCCCCATTGTACACAGAAAACCAGGAGCCCTTGACATAAATGGAGGTAATCCTCAAACCAAATTCCACAGAAATAAAACAGCGACATTACATTCTAGCTGGACACGCTGGTCGCCCACACATAGCCAAGTCTGAGCCCTGCCCTTTCTTGCTCAAGAGCAGAGCTTGGCGTGTTATCAGAGCTCTTACAGCATGTGAGTGCCAAGCAGAGACTTTCTCCTGGACATTCTCAGAAAGGCTGAGAGAGACTTGGAAACAGAACGGCATTCTCCCTGTGTGTCAATGTTCTCTGCGATCACTTCTGTTTACCCCCAAATCAAGTCACAGACTAACTGTGGGGAATGCTACTGAGGTTAAATGAGGACCTTGACTCCACAATCAAACACGGGTTCAAATCTTGGCTCAGATCAGCCACTTATCAGCTGTGTGACCTTGGGCAAACTGCTTTACCTCTCTGTGCCTCTAGTTTCCCTCTGTCCTCTATAGGATACCAGCACCTGTTATCAGTGTACTTACTTATCAGTGGGGAGTGAGGAATGGGAACTAAAGGCTTTCACAGACAGGGACTGGGCACGGGGATCTTGAGGAACAAGACCCAGGCCCCACCCTCTGTGAAATCAACCAAGGAGGCAGCTTTTCCCAAAGTGGGGTCACAGGAACCCCGGTCCTGTAAGCTACTCACAGAACAAAGGTTTCGGCAGTTCAGGCAGCTAGGAAAACCCAACCCCTCCACGGTCACAAAAGCTGGTGAGTCAGCAAAGGTTCTGAGAAGTCCCGCAGTGGAGAACACTGGGGTTTGGCACAGTGACCAGAAAGGCTCGGGGCGGGGGGTAGTTTAGGGGGAGGATTTGGGTGACGGGTGATAAGGGTGGGTTTCCAGAGCTAGGGCGTCAGGGGCCCACCCCCAGGCTCGGGGGCCACATGGGGAAGGTCTATTCTGAGCACTTCTACGTTCGTTAGCCCCATGGGCATTGACAGACCCCCCCAGTCACCCACTCTCATCCTGGCCTGTTGCACCCAGAGCAACGAGTCCCAACCTAAATATTTAACCCATGACTGTAGGGCCACCATTAGGAACTCTGTCCCTCTCAGGCCCTCCCCAGCGCCACCTCAGGGCGTCAGGCCAACTCTCAAACCTGCCCCATCATCTGGTTGGGATGCGGGACCCCACCCCGACACTGGACCCCACCCCGCCAGGCCCACTGTTCCAGGCCAGGCCCAGCGTGGAGGGGCCACAGCGGGGGAGGAACATCTCGGGCTCCTGGTGGGAACAAAGGAGGGCTCCGCAGGAGGCTGCAGTCAGACAGACAAGGGTCCAAGTCCAGGGTGGCCGTCTGCTGCTTGTGCGATCTCAGGCAAGTGCCTTCCCCACTGAGCCTCAGTTTCTCCTTCTGCCCACCAGGGATAACCACAGGCATCACAGCGATCTGACACTTGGCCGTGTGCTTTATTAGCACCAGGCACGTTCACTCTAAACCTCTGGAGGAGGTTTGCCTGCCTCTTTATAGACGAGGAAACTGAGGTGCAGGGTGTCAAGATGCACGCCCAGGGTAGTAGCTTGGGCACAGGGAGCTGGGTCCTCCCCTCAGGCAGTCTTGCTCCACAAGACACATGACCAACCACTGGGCTAACAGCTACCGTAGAGGTGCTGGGGACCACATAAGCCAGCCATGGCAACCACCATCTCCAGGACAGTATGAGCTAATATTTACTTTCTGCGTGCCAGACTCCCCACTCACTTCACACTTCATCTTCATTACAACCTGGTGAGGTAGGTGTCGGCATGCTAGGTAATCGTACTGTTATTCCCACTTTACAGATATGGAAACTGAGGACCAGAGAGGCGAAGTCAATTTCTGGTAATATGGCAGAGCCAGGATTCCAACCTGGGCAGGCCCCAGACCCCAAGGCATCTACAACGCCGTGTGACAATCTTACAGGGCTCCCGCAAGTAGGCACTTAGAAGGATGCTTTAAAAATGCCAAGTGCCCCAAGTCACCGTGAGATACCACTAGGATGGCTAAAATGAAAAAGACAGATAATAACAAGTGCTGGCGAGGATGCAGAGAAACTGGAATCCTCACGCACTTCTGTGGAATGTAATCCGGGCCAGCTGCTACAGACAGCAGTTTGGTGGGTCCTCAGAAAAGTTAAACATAGTAGCAGCATTATTCACAACAGCCAAAAAGTGGAAACAACCCAAATATTTATCAACAGATGAATGGATAAACAAAATGTGTTATATACGTACAATGGAATAGTATTTAACCGCAGAAAGGAAGAAGTCTTGACACATGGATGAACCTTGAAAACTTGCTGCCGAGTCAAAGAAGCTGGCCGCAGAGGCCCATGGTGCACGACTCCGCTGGTACGGAGTGTCCAGAACAGGCAGATCAGAGACAGGAAGTGCATCAGTGGTCGCCAGGGGCTGTGAGGATGGGGACGGGTGGCTGACTGCTGAAGGGCACCGGCTTACATTTGGGGGTGATGAAAATGTTCTAAAATTGATTGTGGTAATGGCTGCACCATTCTGTGAATTTACTAAAAAAAACAAACAACAACAACAAAAAAAAAACCCACTAAATCGTACACTTTAAAGTGCCACCAAAAAAAAAGGTAAATGCCATTTATAAGTGAGAACGGTTTGTTTTTTCTTCTCTCACTGCCCTCAAGTGGGTCCTGCCTTTTACCCTCTGTTTTTTGGGGAGGCTGCGCCAGCTCCAGGTAACACCCAGCTGCCTGGGGGAAGGAGCTAGCGCTCAGAGGGCTCACCGCGTGGCCCGCACAGGGCTAAGTAAGTTGCATATACGTTAGCTCATTCAATCCCACCACCTCAGAAGTATGTAGCATTGTTCTCCCCATTTTACAGATGGGCAAACTGAGGCACGGAGCAATTAGGTAACTTGGCCACAGGCCCACAGCCAGAAAGCAGGGCAGAGCGGAGACTCGAACCCAGGCTTCTGGGGGCACAGTTCCCGCAGTTAGGCACAACGACAGGTCCAGGGTTTCGCCTTTTGGGTTTGGGTCCGTTCCTCCCACCATCCACCCTGAGCATCCTTCTGGGTGGCCCCATGCCAGGAGCTGCAGGAATGCGGGCGGGCAGGGAACCCGCAGGGAGGAAGCGCAAGTCCCACAAGTGCTGGGAACTGGCCGGACCAGTACAGCTTTTCATCTCGCTGATGAGCCACACTGGATCGGCCAGACGTGGCACCCGTGGGCGGTCAGCCCCGCTGATGGAGGCCAAGATACGGCCCTTCCCTACCAGCCTCGTCCCAGTCCTGTCCACTCACGCAGATGGCAGCCACTCAGCTAAGGTAGGAAAGCTGAGGTGCCCCCACCCACCCCAGAGAAGAGAAGGGACGGGAAGGGGGCAGTGGACCTGCAGTCAGGGCCTTTACTGCCTTCCAGCTCCCCCGGCTGGCACCCTGGGAGGTGGGAC